AGTTATGACTTAGAAATCGGGAGGTGAATAAACAAAGCTACAAGCAGTGAATCCATCTAAGTGCTTGTATGTGCTGTTCTCTGTTCCTGGCTAGGCCCTGTCATGGGGGAGGGGGGGGGGAGGTTCAAGCCCTGTCATGGGGGAGGAGGTGGGGGGAGGTTCACGGCCCTGTCTGGGGTGTTCTCACAGGTTATGGAGCTCACGGCTCCTTGCCCTGGAGGGGTGGAGGAAGAGGTCTCACCCTTCACTCAGCTCTGTGTCCTGGGCACAGCCGTTGTCCTCTCCATCCCCGCCCCCCATCCCACACCCCCAAAGAATCAGTTATAAGCATCCCATTGTCTGCAGGGAACAGAGCTGAGGCCTGGGAGGCACCCTGGGGCAGGGGCTGCCGACATGCTGGAGCCTCACATATTCTGAGCAAGATTTTATTGAATAAAGAACTGATTTATGAAAAATAATAAAACTGAGACCAATACAAATCTCAGACACCCTTTGTCCTGACGACTTTGGCAAACGAGTCTAGCCAGTGTCTCCCTCTTTATACAGGACTTTGTAAGTGAAAGTTTTCGCTGAATTGAGTGTCAGGTTGGAGAGTGCTGCAGCCATTTTCTGTGTTGCTGTTGGCACACGTCCGCATGCTCCCCGGCCCCACTGCCAGGCCCGGGCAGCAACGCCCAGCACCTGCTGAGCACAGGCATGTGTGGCTCGCATGCTGAGCTGATGCCCTGTGCTTCAGTCCATCCTCCCAGCAGCCCAGGGGCAGGCGCTATTAACCAGCGTGTTTTTACTGATGAGACCCACTGATTGCAAATGCTGAAGCGCTGGAGGCCAGTTTGGGCGCAGACCACCTGGGCTGGCGCCCGGGTCCTTGTCAGACCGGTTCTGCTCCCGTGGACCCTGCCAGCGCAGGTGCTCTGCCTGCATCCAGGACCTTAGTATCTGGAGGTGTCTTCCTACAGATGCGATTCTACCCACACTGCGCCCACCATGCAGGAGCCCCGCTTTACCTGCAGGCGCTCTCCACCTCCGGAACCTCAGGAAGCAGCAGCTCCGTCCATCCGCGGGGAGACCTGAATCCAGCGAAGCCGCCCGGCTCCGCGGAGGCAGCCGATGCCTGTGGCTGTGAGCACCGGCAGGACCCCAAAGCCTTGAGAGTCTCAGCAAATAACCAGTGTTAGAAGCGTGCAAAGCTAGATGGGGTCCCCTGTGCAAGTGGGCAGTGGAGCGGCCTTCCTAAGAAAGGAAGAGAGCCTGTGCTGGGTTGCACGTTGGGGTTTTCGCTGCCTCTCTGAGCTGAGGATGGAAGCTTCTCTGGCTTGAATTGAAAGCAAAGAGCTGGGGTGTTTCTTGAGAATGAAAGAGGTGATTTTATACAAAGCTGTCAGGCTGGGAGTCATGGAGGTTCTACTGTGTCCAGGATCCTCTGCAAGGATCATAGTTGTTTGAGTGTGATTTGGGATCGCAGTGGGCACGGGCCCCTCAGTGGGGGACGTGGGGAAGCCCTGTTAGCCTGCCTGGCTAACAGCGCTCGGAGGCTTCGGGGCAGCAAGCGGAAGGTGGGCTGTAAGGGCCTGTCTTCTCTGTCGCGGTCGGCTTTGTCTTGTGACATGGAATTGATCTGTCACCACAGGCAGATGATGCTTTGCTGGGTACAGGATAAAAAGTGCAAAGCTGACGTGTTCCTCACCGTCGGGGCCGTCACAAACTAAACAAGACACTTTAGGGCCCGAGCAGTCAGCTGTGCAAAGGCTTATTATTAAATGTCACAACAAATATTTCTTCGTTTTTCAAAGCAACTTCGAGGTCGTCGAAGCAAGACTTTTGAAACCAGAAAGCAATTGTTTCTATGTAACGCTCTTTGCAAAAGTTGCATCTCAAAGCAGGTAGTTGAGATCCCGTGGTGCAGCCAGCCTTGACGGATGGGGTTAACACCTGGAAGAACAAACCAGCGGTTCTGTCGTGTAGGACATTGCACTCCTGCTCTGAATCATCCTGACTGGGAGACCCTGAGATCCAGGTGACGACTGAGCATGGCGGTGTCACTGTCACCTGGGAGGCGGACACACGGGCTCCAAATCAGAGCAGTGAACCTGGACCAGGGACTTCTCTTTATTTGTGCCTCTACTTTCTAATGTGTGAAAGGAGCTAATACTAGGCCCTCTCCTGCTTGTCCTGAGGATTTATTGAGTCGGTACAGCCAAGCACCTCGAAACATGTTGGCATGTACATGGCATTCACATCTTACAGATTAGGAAACTGGGAGTGACTTGAATCTGACCACTTAACTCTTAGGCACAGGAGCTGAGACTCAGACCCAGCATCCTCTCAGGTGTTTTCCATGTCTGTGTATATGCAGGTAATATATTTTTATTTATTTTAAAAATTAAGGTATAGTGTGCACACAGTCATATAGAGGGGTTCCATCAGCTCCCCCGCATCCTTCCAGTCCCCGCTGTGGACAAGCCCTCCCCCGACCTCCGCCCCCTGGCAGCCACTGAGGTGTTCTCCATCCCTAGAGTTTTGCCTCTTCCAGAATGTTCTAGAAATAGAATCTTAGTATTTAGCCTTTTGGGTTCGTCTTGTTTTATTTCTTGGAGTGCATTTGAGATTCATCCATGTTATGTGTAACACAGGCTTTTTAAATTTTTTATTGCTGAGTAGTGTTCCGTCAGATGGATTTGCCTCTTGAGGGACCATTAGGTTGTTTCTGGTTTTTGACGATTACAAATAAAGCTGCAGTAAACATTCACATACAGGGTTTCATGTGAGCAAAAGTTTTCATTTCACTCAGGCGTGCAATTGCTGGGCCATATGTGGAGGGCATATCTAACTGTGAGAAACTGCCAAGTGCTTTTGCAAAGTTCCTGAGCCAGTTTTCTATGCAGACCAGCAGTATCTGCAGACAGCACTTGGTATTGTCAGGTTTTCATTTTGTTTTAGCAAGTATAATAGATATTAGTGATATCTCACTGTGGTTTTAATTTGCATTGCCCCGCGAGCAGTGATGGATGTGAGCGTCTTTTGTAGGCTTATTTGCCACCTGTATTCCTTTTCTGGAAAAGTGTCTACAGACCTTTGGCCTACGTTGGGGAGATTGCTTTCTTATTATTGAGTTCTCAGAGTTCCTTGTATATGCTGAATACAGAGCTCTGTCTGTGACTTGCAAATATTTTCTTCCAGCCTGTGGCTCACCTTGTTACCTTAGCAAGCGTTCTTCGTTTTGATGAAGGGCAATTTATCAGCTTTTGCTTTCACACTTTTGGTGTCATATCTAAGAAGTCTGCTTAGCCTAAAGTCACAAGGACCTTCTTCTAGAAGTTTTATAGTTTTACATTTCAGATGTATGACTCGTTTAAAGTTAATTTTCCCATGTAGTGCGAGGTATAGAATGAGTTTCGTTAGGAGCTGGAGGCGGAGGAGCCTGTGCCCCTTCGTTGCAAATCAGTTCATTGGTCATCTGTATTCAGGGTGTTACACTTAAACGGGGTTTCTGCCAATTCCTTTGGAAAACAGTGGTAACAACAGTTTATGGAATAGGTATCATATTCTCCAGTGTTTCCATTGATATCCTGTTCTCTTTCAAGTTGCTTTTGAGCTTTAATGCCCCCATGGAGCAAGTATTTAGCATGGGTGTTATTTTCATTGATTTCTTTCCGGGAGGGGACGGCCAGCTGCTTTAAGGAGTCACTTAGGGTCCGAGATGTGGGCCGGGGCAGCCTTGATCAGAACACTTAAAATCCAGGAACTTTCCCCAATGAGATACAGATGAGGAGGCTGAGGCTCTGGCTTCCACAGAATGGAATTTTAATCCCTCACTCTGTGATCAAAAGCAAAGGAATTGACATCTCCATTGTCAGCTTCTGCTGCCTTCCAACACAGCTAACCCCCTGGAGATCTGTTGGAATTCAAGATGAACTATTCCAGGGTCTTACCATAGCGCATGGCATGTATTGGGATCTCTCAGTGTTACCATCACTGTATTTTTTTAGAGTGTGGGTTTTCTAGAAGATACATGATATCAATATGAGATAAAATTACTAAAGAAAAAATGATTCCTAATTAAGGGCTACACGATATACAGGAAGACAGTTTTGGATGGAACAAATAATCATTTTAATTGTTGAATATGATAGAGCTGCAGTCATTGACTAGTAGAGGACTCTTCTAAGGGCACGGGTTGGCATTGGCTGTAGCTTCATTAGGGTTAAGGAGAAAATCACACACAAGAGTAGCACAGTATAGACATTTGGTCAGCAGGCAAGAAATGTTGGCTTCTGTTAACTGTTACTGCTGTCGTTGTGTGTCAAGATTACCATGTAACAAATCACCATTGTTTGTGGATCACAGATTTTTTTTTTTTAAAGATTTTTATTGGGGAATTGGGGGGATGGGAACAGTGCTGGGGAATTGGGGGCAGGGGAACAGACAAGTTGCTGTCGTTTTTTGTTCTTCAGTCTAGTTGTGGAGGATGTTGCTTCACTGGCCGAAGTTGGCACCATCATTGCGCTCTTC